AGCGACATAAAAATGGTCACTGTAATTTTTTTGAAGGTTACGATGGATAAAATATTCATAAAAGATGCTGTTAAAAATTTCGGCTTCCTTCCAATCCCATATTAATATTGTTTTTAAAGTAATTCTCTTATCTACATTGTTCACAACTAATAAATAATCAAGGACAGCAGCAGAATTTTAATAAAATTATTAAAGATTTTGTCGAGAGAGCTCTAATTAATACATTGGGAGTTCTTTAATCGATTATTTCATATACTATTGCTACTCTCGTCTAATTTGATAAAAATGATGGAGAAAATGACAATTAAATCTGTTTAGTCCAAATATTGAAAACCAGAAGGAGGGCAAAGAACATTAAAATATGATTTTTTATTAGACAAACGTTGTCAATATTAGTATAGAGTATGGTGCATGTCATCCGGTGTTTTTATTCTTGGACGTAATAATAATAATAATATTCGAATTATATTCAAATTTTCGAGTATTCAAATATTTCAAGAATTCGTAGTGTTTTCAGATATTTATGGCAATCAAGAACGTTACAACGCTTATGGCATAAAGGCATTGGATATATTTAATTTAATAATTGGTTTAATTATTGTTTTTATTAATAGAAAGAACTATTAACTAAATGATTAAACTGAATTGGTAATTGACATCTTCATTAAAGTAGTTCCATATAAAACTATCTTTAGGCCTTCCGTGCATTTTAGATTCGAATTTGTCTCTTCGTTGCCAATATATGATACAAGATTATCATTATCACTATTATCTGAAGGTTTTTTTTTCAAAAAAAATTTTCATTAAAAAAAAACCCCATTACGAGTATTCCGATATTAAAAAAAAAATTCAAACTCGTGTTACCGAACAAACAATTTTAAAATGTCAATACAAACTTTTGAAACTTCTCATGAAGACTTGATTCATGATGTTTCTTATGATTTTTATGGAAGACGCCTTGTCTCTTGTTCCTCAGATCAAAAGTTAAAGGTTTGGGATTTTAATCAAGAAACTAACGAATGGGAACTCAACCACTGTTGGAAAGTATGTGTGTGATATATACATATCTTTATTAGAGAATGCGTAAAATATTTATATGTTTATATTTATCCCATCTTATATGTTTATGTGTTTATATAAAAGGCACATGAATGTTCCATTCTGAGAGCGGTTTGGGCACATCCAGAGTTTGGTCAAGTGATAGCATCGTGTTCTTTTGATCGTTCGGTTAAGATTTGGGAGGAAGAACATGGTATTTTTCACACTTACTTTTGATTTTATTAATATATATAGCTATCATTGATCGATGAAAGTTTTCATTTATATATTAATATAGAACCAAAAGAAGGCGGCAAAAGATGGGCTGAAAGAGCTACGTTGGTGGAAAGTAGGGGATCAGTTCAAGATATTGAATTTGCACCAAATTGCTGGGGATTAAAATTAGTAATATAATTTTTATATATCTTTTTGATAGTTTCCTATTTGAAAATGAAAATCTTTTATTTTTTATTATTGTTATTAATCAAATATGTACGTGTAATAATTAGGCCACATGTGCAGCTGATGGGATGTTGCGTATATTTGAGGCATTGGAAGTTAATAATTTATTACAATGGAGTTTAATGGGAGAAGCAGAAATAACACCTGGAATTTCCACCAAAGAAGCTGAAAGAAATTATTGTATTTCATGGTGTCCATCTAGGACCCAACTTCCGATGATAGCAGTAGGGTGTAGTAAAGAAAATTGTGTTAAAGTGCGTATTTAGCAAATGGTACTTGTAAAAGTACTTTTTTTTAGTTTATATCATTCTATTTTTAATAATGATAATAATATTATGATTATTATTATTGAAGTCTAACAAAAAAATAATGTGTATATATATTTAAAAAAGATTTTCAGACCAGATTTACAAAATCAATGGAGAGCTTATGAAATATTAAATGGACATCTTGATGTTGTTCATGATGTGAGTTGGGCTCCAAATATGGGAAGGTAACATTTTTAAAAGGATAAATATTTCAATTTAAATATTTTTATTAATGACAATTTTTTTTTAAATTTAACTTAGGAGTTATCATCTTATTGCAACTGCTTCAAAAGATACTCATGTGAGAATTTTTAAACTAACAGAAAAAAAGGACGTTTATGAAGCTGTAAATGTGAGCAGTTTTCCTGACCATAAAGCCGAAGTAAAAATCAAAATTCTTTATTTTTCATTTATGTATTTTTATTTTTTATTTTATATATATATATATTTATTTATTTAATTTACTTTCAAGGTTTGGAAAGTTGAATGGAATGTGACTGGAACTATTCTTACATCATCTGGCGATGATGGAAAAATACGATTATGGAAATGTAAGTAAATATTTAGATAAATAATTGAATAAAATTCAGTATTTTATTAATTAATTTTTTTTTTAAAAAAATTTTAGTATCATTTAATGGTGAATGGAAATGTATGAGTGTTATAAGTTATGAAAAACAGCCTACCAACTCGGAATATTAATTGTTAATATTATGTGTTTTTTTTTTTACTAACAAGGATCAATAATAACATTCTTAGAAAGATGGCTAATTTTGATAATATATATATATATATATATATATATATATATGCATATTTATATTTAATAATAATGAACGAATTTTTGGAACAAAAATGTATATAGATGTGTATACCATTAGTTTATTTTTTTATTATAGTTTTTTATCTTTTAAATAAAATCTAATGTTTATCGACGTGGAACACCTCTACCACGACCTCCTCTAAAAGCTCTTGATGCACCGCCTCTAGGCATTTGAGGACCTGCATCAGGTTTTTCAGATTGTGGATTTTTTACAGTCTCGTCAACACTTAAGATCAAACAAGCAGCTTCTGTTGCGGCGGCGATAGCATTTGTTTTTACAAGTGCCGGTTCCCAAACAAAAGCTTCATAATTATCAGCAATAGACTCAGAATTGACATCAACACCATACCAAATAGAACCTATAATATATAAATTATAAATAAATATATTTACATGTTTATATTTATGAAAAATAAATTTTATTAATATATCTTACCGTGAGCATGTTTCATTCTTAAATTATTTAAAATGTCTGTTGCATCGAACCCAGCATTATCACATAATTGACGAGGAATCACCTCTAATGCACGAGCGAATGCTCCTATAATCAATTGTTGTTTACCTTCTATCGTTCTAGAATGTTCACGAAGGAATTTTGACAATTCCATCTACAACATATATTCGAAGAGTAGAAATTATTGTGAGAAAATAAATATTTATATATGGTTATGATTTTTTTATCAATGATATCATCTTATCTAGTAAAACAACAAACCTCTGTTGCACCACCGCCAGCAACCACCAAGTTATTTTTAATGGCACGTTTTACTATCATGATAGCGTCATGTAAACTTCTTTCAACCTCGGCAATAAATTGTTCGGCACCACCTCTCAAAATCAACGTACATGTTTTTGCAGCAGGACAACCTTTAAACAAATTATATCTTTCACTGCCGATTTGTTTCTCTTCAAAAGATTCACATGTACCCAAATGTTGTTCTTGAATATCAGAACAAGTTGATTGAATAGTACCACCAACAGCACTAACAACACGATTAAGATCTTCAGTAGGTACACGACCTGCGCAAAAAATATCTCTATCGGCAAAATATTGAGTGGCCAAATCACCAATAGGAAGTTTAGACAGAACAACCTTTGCACCACTATTAACAATAGAGTCAAGTTTTGAATATATTATAGACCATTCTGCATCAACAATAGCTTGATATTCCTAATAATAGTAGTAGTAATAATAATAACTTTTTTAAGAATTACTCTGAAATAATAATAATCTGCATATAATATATTTGAAATTCAATATTATTATAACAAATAATTTTTATTTTATTTTTACATACATTAACGTCGTCAATACGAACTTCGGCATTATCTTTTTCTGCTTTTAATTCCAATTCAACATTTAAGGATAAAATTTTGGGATTCTTAAATGATTTTGGTTGTTGTTCAAATCCAGCATAAGAAAAGGTTTTTTTGAATGCAACACCGTCAACAAGAAGTGAATCCTATATTTATTTATTTATTTTTTTACGTAATATAATACATATATATATGATTGGATCAAATAAATCAGTTAATAAAAAAATGTGAGAAAGATCCTATTATTTATGTATGATTAAAAAAAAAAATAATAATAAAATTAACCTGCATTGCGCCACCTGGAACTCTTTTTTTACCAATTAATTTTTCATCCAAATCTTCTTGATCTAATATCAATACAGCATCAACAACCATATTGGCAAAAAAATCTTTATGCGAATGAATCAACTTTGAAGACATGGCGGTTCCAGCACATTTCAAAAGTAAATCACGGAAATCACTTTATATAATATATATATATATATATACAATGTTGACAATTAAGAAGAATCATTTAAATAAAATAAAGTAAAAAATAAAAAAATAACTATGCTTACTCTTTATTAGTTCTTTCAACTTTTACTGCAATTTCTTTAACTTTATTAATAGCCTATAAATATTTAATAAAATGTAAATTAACCATTATTATAAATAACATTATTATAAATACTACCAAAAATATTTATATTTGGATAATCTTTTACATTACCAATTGAGCAGCTTTTCTATAACCTTTAATGATAACATGAGGACTGACACCTTCCTCAATATAACCTTTAACTTCTTTCAACAATTCACCAGCTAGAATCACTACACTAGTTGTTCCATCGCCAACCTAAAGTTTTCAATGATCGAGTAGAATAATAATAAACAAAGAAAAAAATAATATATATATATAAATCCTTTATATCTTAATGCATGATTGGTTAGGATCTTCATACACGTTATTCACACAAAATCGTACTTCTGCGTCCTGTGATCTTGCAATGTCAACTAAAGTTTTTGCAGCAGGATGAACAATATCAAGAAGTTTCATTATAGTAGCACCATCATTTGAAATTGTTACTTCACCTAGAATTTGGACATAGATATTATTCATATTGACATGCAAAATAACGAATGTGATCATAAAAAGAGGGAGAAATAGAAACCTTTCTCGTCAACAATTAATTTATCCATTCCTCTTGGACCAAGGGTAGTTCTTATAGTGTCAACTACTGCTAAACATGCATTAATATTTGATAAAAGTTGACCACGTCCTTGTGAAGCATCTGTGCCTTCTTTAAGTAAAATAATTTGTGGTTGCTATTTTAAAAATCAATCAAAAATTTTAAATAATCATTTAATTTAAAATAACTATCAGAATTATTTATGGAAAATAAAAAATTAGAATACTACCATCATGGGTACACCTCTTCCTGCCATGTTTAAATATTTTAAATTAAAAAACTTTTTGAATTTTTGATCTGTTGGTTTTTCATGTATTTTTGTTACACGATCATGTTGGCTTATCACGTGATTAAAATCTCGGTGAATAAATACGCCCGCCATAATTATTATTATTATTATATAATAAAGAACTCCTTGAGACAAATAGTCTATATTTAAAAGCAGTAATGTCGTTGTCCCCTTTAGATAAATCAAAACGTTCAGCTGCTTATAGAGCTGTTGATGTATGTATCACATCAGAAGTAAAACTTATCGGAATAGGTTCAGGTTCAACAGTGCTTTATGTTATTGAACGTATATTACAACGTTCTAAAGAACTAAATAATCAGTGTGTCTTCATCCCAACTAGCTTTCAAAGTAGACAATTAATTATTGAAAATGGTTTGAATTTAGGTGATATTGATCAGTTAGGAATTATTTCAATTTATTTTTGGTTTATAAATTTTTATTTTTTAAAAAGTTATATAAATTAACTTTTTATATATTTGCATAGATATCCAGAAATTGATGTAGCTATTGATGGCGCTGATGAAGTAAATATACTATTATTAATCATATATGAACATACAAATACTGTATATTCAACCATTAATTGATTAAAAAAGGTAGATGAACATTTAAATGCTATAAAAGGTGGAGGTGCATGTCAACTACGTGAGAAGGTAGTAGCGGAAGCAGCAAAAAATTTTGTATTGGTTGCTGATTACACCAAAAAATCCAAATTTCTTGGTGAAAAGGTAACTAATTAATATTCCTGATTTATAAAAAAATTGCTTTCATTAGTGATGGGTGTTTGACTGTTATGAGTTTTTTTTTCATATATCATATAACATTGTTATAATAGTTACATGTCAAATTTATTGTTAATTCATAAATTATTGATTTTTAGTGGAAGCAAGGAGTACCAATTGAAGTAGTTTCATTCACTTATGTTAGAGTTATGAAGGAACTTGAAGCTTTAGGATGTGAACATATAAAATTACGTATGGCTAAATGTAAAGCTGGTCCGATCATAAGTGATAATGGAAATTTTATAGTTGATGCCTATTTTGGGTTGATAAATGAACCAGGTGAATTATCAAAAAAAATCAAATTAATAACAGGTGTAGTGGAAGTTGGATTGTTTGTTAATATGGCAAAAGTTGCTTATTTTGGTAATGAAAATGGAAGTGTTTTGGAACAAAAATTATTGTAAATTATAATCATAATTATTTTTTGTTAGTAATAGTAATAATAAAAATCAATGGTAATACTTTTCCTCACTAAGAATCAATAATATATATATATATTATAGTACAACAATGTTGTAAATGCAAATTGATAATGGCAACCAAAAGATCAAAGTTAATATTAAAAGTACTACCACCACCAATAATGTGTGATATCATGATGAAAATTTTATTTCTTTTTTAACGATTCAACATTTCTATATGAGATGTTTGGGAATAATTCTCTCTTGTTGAATTATTATTGCCATTGCCGTTTCTTTTCTAAACATCATTGATATATTTAATACCATGTTCATATCCAAATTTTGTTTCCAAATCATACAATAAAAGAGGGCATCAATCAAAAATAATCGTATTGTAACTTGCGGCTATATTTTTCTTTGTCAAATACCTTATCATCATCATCATCATCATTATTACGATTTCCACAAAGGATACAATATTTGTTAGATCCACTTAAATTGTTGCTCGTCTTTAAATTTTCAATAAAAAATAAATGTATGATGAAAATAATACCATTTTTAAATCCATTATCTCTAGTTTTAGTTGATTGTTTTATCACTAATAATAAATTAATATTTTCTAATAAAAATCTATATACTGATTAATTGATGATCCTTTAAAATCAGCAGAACTCTGTTGTATTATGAGTTTTTTTGCCATTCAGAAACCTGCAATTGAGTGGAGCAATAACAGTAAAAATTAATAAAAACAAAATCCTATTTATTCTGGATATTGAAAGACCAGCTAAAATATAATTCAATTAGGCAAGTTGGTTTGCTTGCAGGACCAAGTGCAAATATTCATCTAATAAAATGAAGATCTACTGATCAACTGAGGATTATCGTGACTATTGATTGATGACTTTTACGGTTGAATTTTGGCTATATAAAACGACCACTTGTTGGCTGTGTTGAAATTTCGTCGTGTGGCTAGAAAAAATTAATAATGTTCAAATAATATAAATGTTCACAATATCATATATTACTATTATTATATATAAAAGATATAATTAATTGTTAACAAAAAAATAATTACCATCGATATCTAGAATTATACTATATCAAAATTAACTATAACGCCAGCCAATATAGTTCAATTATCGACTTTAACAGAGATTGGTGGTGCATTAACTTTATCGACTACAGTTGTACCTAAAGCTCCGAGCTGTTCGGTTCGGTTTTTCGGTCTACATTTGACCCAAAAATTTCAAACATTCTAAATTCGTTAACTATGCAAAAATATACATACATATGTAAACTCGATAATTCGGTCATATGAGCTCACCCCCACATGTCCGACTTATCGAGTTTACATATGTAACAACTTTACAAAAAAATTATAATAACTTGTGGCTTGGTTTTGGCGAATGTGTGTGTTGGGAAGTAGAGATGCTGGAAGGATCCTGTTTCTGAATACATACACGACCTATAATTTTTAGACCATGGTAGCGAGGGTCCATTTTCAGAGTTTCTATTCGTAATACAAATTCGAATTATTCGCTTTGTTTGTTCTATTCGCTTTATTCGTTTTATTCGAATAGAAACTCTAACGACATTCTATTTTTTCAATTCATATATGAAATTCATTGTCATCGCCAAACTTTTAAACTCTTATTGTTTCAGGTTCTAAACTACAACGCCTTTGAGTAATTAAGTCTTGTGCCTCTAGAAAAAACTCGTCCAACCGAGACACTGGTTGTTATAATAAGTTTATTATATCAGAAATCAATGAGCTTAATTCTAAATAAGCAGAATGCAAAAATTAGAATACCAGGGACTACTGCCAAGTAGTTTCTAGTCTAAAGCTCCGAGCCGAATCCGAACCGAATTGTTCGGAGCTTTAAATTTGACGTTAGTGATGATGTGCACTGTATGTACTAGTTATTGTACGGGTGTTTAAAAATATCGTGCAAGCTATGACGCAGTCATAGCTTATATGAATTTTTAAATATCCATACAATAACGTCTATATTGTGAAACTGAGCTATGATAATGTTT